CTGTAACTTCTGCTGTTTTGGAATATTCAGGCTAAGTAGATGATAATAGTTTGATGATAGTAGATGATAGTATTTTGGCCCTGTTGAAGTCAATGGCACAAAATTCATTGAGGTCAGCAAGGCATCGTTCCACTTATGGCCCAATTCTGAACAGCTCACAATTTAGGGATTTGATCCATGATTCGTAGTCCATGATATTCCACACTGAAATGCAATGAAATGGAATTTGAGACTCTAAGAGTCTCCAGAGAGACTCCTCACTCAGAAAACAGCCCACTCATGATGAGATTTAAACAAAGGTTTTAGTCTGAACCAAAGCTAAAAGGGAGTCTAGAGAAAGGAAGGAAAGCTTATGATGCCCTGATCATAGAAATGTTAAGATCCAGTACTTATCCTCTTGAAGAAAATAATTGTATGTGTAATTAAAAAGATATCATTTTAATAAATTACTTCTAAGCCACCTAAATAAATATCACAGTTTCTAATTATAAAATATTCCAACACATGGAACCCAACATACGGGCCACTTGCAAAGGGGCTAATTTTTGTAACTTACAGAAATATTGAGATAAAATATTTTTATCCTTAATCTTGAACTGTGTACTTCAAATGTTTTCAGCAAATGCAGTACTATATTCCAGATTATGTATGTTCATGTTCATCAAATAAATAGTGTCTCTAAGACTAATAATGGCAATAATTGACTGTCAGGCGGAGCCAGGACTCCCCTAGCAGTCACATCATTAAGTTTCAACAGCAAGTGAAACCATTTTTATGGTTAAAAGAAAAATCTGATCCATGACTGCAGCTTTACAAATCAGTTACCAATAACTTTATAAAACTTGAAGTGCATTTTTTGTTTGATTTGCATTCTAACACTATCATCAGAATAGTATTACACTGTCAAATGAATTGTGCCATGTATTTTACATATAATTGAGGATCTTGTACAGAAATTCAACTCTGGATCCAGCAAATTAACTGTTCAAACATAAATCCAATGAGGACTGCATGCCAACTGCGTGCTAATAGGGTGAAAGGAACCAATCTGACCATGATACTGAGGCTCATCTCTGCAGATGTCGCTCTTGGGAAAAGCCTACTGGGAGCAATAGAGCATTTAAGTATGCTCAGAGACTATACATTCATGTGATTTGATAGAACTCTGAATGCCAGGCCCCACATGCATCTCCCTAGGGCCAACGTCACTTAGTTACAAAGTAAGTAAATAACTGAAATGTTTTCCTCAGCATTTATTTTTCTTCGGCTTCCAAATATGATTCAGAGATGTAAGCATTTAAATAAAGCCTGCCTTTTTAAAATAGGTCAAAATCTTAGCTGTCTCATAACTGGATAGTTCAAACTATAATATAGTACAAATAATTATCAACATTTAGCAGAGGGAGAAAAAGGAAGCAAAGTTAAGATAAAGTACCGAGAGTAGTTTTCATAAGCATCTTTATGAAAGTGAAACGGAAAGTGCCAGAACACTCTTCAATACAATGTACCTAAACAGACATTCTTTTCAAAAAGGTCTAACAATTCTCAAATTTTACTGACTGTCTTAAATACTACTATATGGAGAAAGGAGAGGTTAATGTCTGTGGCTAGGTAGTGACCATTCTTCCTCTGGATGCTAGCAACAGAAGAGAATTTTGAGGATACTCTGCGCACACCCACAAAATCATTTCATATTATAAAATTGCACTCATATTCTTCATACACGGAATGTCCCACACTAGTCTCAGTGGGAACACTTGCATAAGAAAAAAAAATCTATTTAATGACCGATTTGACTTAAGATCAGCACAGACATAAAATAGGAATTTATCCTTTAATAGACAAAGGCAAGTTTGCTTTTTTTATTTTTTAATCACCAGGCCTCCACAGTATTCCAGCTTCTCCACACCACAACTGTAATTTTATGGATGGTGCCACTGAAATTTATTCTACAAAGTCCCAGATCTGCATCTTTAAGTGGGCATTCTTGTCAACCATATGCATGTTTATTCAGCTTTCTGCTGTGTCTTGGGTTGCTATTCATACAGGTAAAAGGCCACAATCTCATCACAAAGTCATTCAGCTCCATAGCTGGGGTACCTCCTGTCTGGTACTAACTTTGGTCAAGTGGTCATGTAACTTATCATCTAAAACTCAACAAAACAATTATTTGGTTGAAAATTGGAGACTTGCCAGACCTTAGGCATTCCTACCCTGTTGCTTTCAAAGACACTGCTTTTCCTTTTACATATTTTTAGCATAATGATTTTAATGCATTTGCCCTCACAACAAGATCTAAAAATAAAGAACAGAGTTCTCTTCTACCTTTTTACATCTGTATAAGGAAAACACAATGCAACGAAATCTGAATAATAGATTATGCATTCTTTGAACTGGGAAAGTACAGTACAGAAACGAAATAGCTCCTAAATCTTGCATATAATTAATGACAGCAACAGTACTATGAACGTAAGTGCATGGGATAACTTGTATTCCAAAAGCAGCACAGATGATGCTCCTGACAGATGATTCTGTCCACTCTAACTCCTCAAAAACAAACAAAAAGTTGGTTTATAGGCTATTGTGGCATTCTATATGGCACTTTCAGGAAGGGATTTAAAATCTCTTTCTACTTCCACAAATACACAGTCAGTCTTAATTCTCACCTTCAGCTGCCCTAAAACATCTGACAGAGAAAAGCCTTTTTATTTTTTCTGATTCTAGAGTGTAAATCCTGGAAATAGAAAGAAAATGCTGAAACTTATTCTGTCAAATACAGACTGTACAGACATCAATATTTTTTTTTTAACATACAATCAAATATGGCTTCAGAGGGAAGCCAATTTGAGAGAATGATACTTGTAAACCAAAGTTTCACTAACATGTGAGTGTATATTAACTTGTTTAATATTTCCTTCAACATGACATTCCACCTAGCCAGGGGTGAGACCAAGGACTGAAGGGGGAAAAAACAACTGCTGCTAGTAAGTGACAGCTAAGTTATGGTTAGTGAGACTGCAAAATATCAATAGCTTTATCGTGCTAGAGGCCTGTTTTGACATACTAATGACTAATGGCCAAGAAAGAGCTACTTTTATCTAGGTCATAATGAGATATCACAATGTGCTCCAAAGGATATGAAATGTACACATGGGAGGGACAAGACAGTGGGGTAAGACAGGGACATAATAGTAAGATTGGAAAGAAAGGCAAGAACTCCTTTATATTAAAAATCAGCAAGGGTACCTGTAATCTGTGCGAAGAAACTCACTGCACTTTTGACATTGTCTAATGCTTACCACTCAAATAAACATTAATCACACACATATTTCAATATAATAAGCCAAACCCTAATCCCAGCTCCCACAAACCAACTGAAGCGTATTTCAAGACAATTCCATTTGTAATAAAAAAAAAAAGATGGTAAAGGAAACAGATGTCTCTCTGTGATCTGATTTACACATCTGCAGACATTTACAGTATGCATGCATTTCCAAAGAATGCTGAGAAAGTTAAGTCAGGAAATGGGAATTTTTCTTCTTAAAGGGCATGCGCCAACAAAGAGTATGACACAAGAAGAAAAGCTATGACAAATACACATCTATCCTATCAAGCCTGTTTGTTTCCAAACCAATATCACATTACAGCACCATGTTAAAGAAACACCAATCATGATAAAAATCAGACAACTTTGGAAATAGTTTACTGCAGGGAAACATCACTCAAATGTGAGGTGGCTGAGGGATGAGTGATTTTCAGATTTCTCCCCTCTCTGAAAGAAGACCTGAGGTTAGCAATGGTAGTCCTTCAGAAATTCATTATATAGAAAAGCAAAACATCCCTCAGCAACACAGACCTGGAGGTTTATTTAAAATCTTCTAAGTCTCAGATTGCCATTTTATGCAGACATCAACAATAAGCCATTGACAATGACATCAAATATTTGCACTGGCCTCAGTGAAATTACGCACAAGAATCAGCAGAGAAATATGTTACAACAAAGAAAGATGGAAGATCCTCATTCAAAAAGAGAAAATCCTTGCAGAACCTCTTAGACAAGCGGTACAGGACAAAGCAGTGCAAGGAGCCAAGATGTTAACAACCTTCAAAATTAAGTTAGGTTCAGGCAGGTCAAAACTACACAAAATCTTCTCCAAATGTAACTGCTTGTTTCAAAGATATTGTCGGTTTCTTAGATTTTTGTCCTATTTCTTTTTCTCCATATAGTTTACTTCAGGCTCACAAAGGGTACCACATAGTCGGGCACGGAGAATGAAGTCTTCTCTTTTGTCAAAGCAGAAAACCCAATATAAATGCCACATCTCTGAGCTGAAGGAACCATCTCCTATATATTCGATATTCGATATCCATGTCCATTCCAGTCCCGGGCCTGTCTGTTGAGACTGTAAATAAGGAACTAGATTCACTCAAGTGTTCTGTTTCCTCCTGGTGAAGGGATGCTGAACAGCCCTAAACCTCAGCTTATGTTTATTTTGCACCGCTATAGTGACCAGTGAGATACAGACAGAATGCATCAGTAAACTTAGACAAGGGGGCTAATTATCACCATTGAGAACTGGGCCAGTTTAACCAGTTTAATTTCATATAAGCCATCATACAATCATCAGATGTTAAGTGCTTTCAGGAACTAACCACTTGGACTGGAGTCAAACTGGTGAGCTGGAGGTGAAAAGCTCCGTATGCTATTACTAATCCCCTGAGCTATAGAGTCCCCAGCTGGTAGTTCTATAAAGGTTCACACATTTTTTTTTGAAAGGCAGCAAAAGTAGTTAAAAGTTTGTTTTTTAAAACAAAACAAACCAAACCAAAACAAAACAACACAACTCACACTTGCAAGAACAACTATCTTTTTCTTAAAATAATCTCTTTGAAAGTAGCAGACTGTACACATTTTACAAGAATAAACAAACTTCTCTAATATTTATCCACAAACTGGGAGTCAGAGATCATTAGTGCAAATTTCTGCTGACCAGCAGCATTTATTCTATAAACTTTGGGTATCCTAAGTGGTCCATTAGAGAACAACAGATATCTTCAATCTGTCTAATCTCTTCACTGGGCATGTTTTGTTTCCAGGCATGAATGCTACTTGGTGAAATTTCCCCTTCGTAAGGAAGATAGAAAAGACTGGTGGAGGTGGCAAATAATATTTGGTTTAAGCTAGCAGGGGGAAGAGGAATACCAAGAAAGGCAAAAATTGTTTCAGCCGTCTTCTGAGGAAAGCTCACAATATCTTCAAACTTGACCAGCTGATAGTTTGTTGGCTGCAAGTCCCCATTTATTCTCAGTGCTGCTGCTGTATTTGTTAGCCACAAATAGGACAAAACAGAAACAGCGTTTGAATTAGAATTTGAAAGTTCTTTTCTTAATGATTCATATTCAAAGGCATAGCCTTCATTTAAACTACATTTTCCTTTACCATTCTCCCCTTTAAACATTGCAGCCAAGCGTTGTGGAACATTTTTCAAGGAGTAAAGGCTTGGCTTATTTTTGTACAACATTGAATAGATCCACGCCCGTGGATCCCTTACTACATATAATGCTCTCATTGATGGTCCTAGGATTTCCTGAAAGAAGGGAAGCTTTAATGTCCAGCTCCCACTACTTAAACTAAGCACAGGTCGTGCATTAGGATAATAGGTGAGATGTCTTCTCAGCTCCCTAATATATTCAGCATCTTTATCTTGACTCCCTCTTGCCCTGCTTCTCTGCTCTGACAGAGATTCTCTCTTTTTGGATCTTTTCTTTTTGTCCTTGCTTATGGCAGAATGCTGAGCAATTTTACTTCTGCTGGCTTCATATAAATGAATGTTTTGCAAATGTAACTTTGTGCCTCGAACTAGAGACTGGAGCCACCCTTGGATAAGACGAAAATGACCATTCTGGACATCAGAAACCTTCCATTCACATGGATCTACAAAGGAATCAATTTCAAATTCAGTCTCAGGAATTTCGAGATAGGGTGTAGGTATCCTGACGTATAAGAAGTCACTGCTATTGAAAAACAGCTGTTTTAAAATTTCTGCACCTGAAGCAGGAAGTGAAGTAATGATAACATCTGGCAAAACAAGGGGATTTCCTTCTACTTGTTTGGCTTTATTGCCTTTATCATGTTCTAGCCTTGTCACGTCACTGCTCCATTTTGCACAGATGGGCTGAGTACACATGCTCCACACATCCACCAATTCAATAAGCCACAGTATGACCACCAGTATCAGGATCCAACGCAACATTTTACTAAAGGATATGTAAAACCGCCACTGAAAAGCCAGTATGACCAAACTAACACCCAAAATTAACCCTGCAATTATGTTCACTTTGAATCCAAATGGAAAAACCACCCTATTGTGTTTTACTCGTTTTTCCACAGATTCAGTACCTAGACCAAACTTCGTCACTTTGTTTTCATGAACTACTTTGGCAAAACCACCAAACCCCAAGTAATCGAACCTTGTCTTTAAATTCTGATACTCAGTCACAACAGAGATGGTATTTTCAGTGTTGTTGACACTGAGCAAAATCTGAAATCCAGATTTTGCATTATCTATGAGTCTGCAGTTAGAAACATTGACATATGGGCCATAGAAAAGGTAAACAATCCTTGTAAGCGTGTTTTTCATTGGAAAGGTAACATTTACAAACTGAGTCCACCGCTTTTTGAATTCCGCAGCTTGTTCTGCCTCCTGTATCCTAGCAACAGGACTACTCCCATGATGATCAAACCAAAACATCTTGTAGTGGGCATCCCACACATCCATCATAGCTCCGTTGTATTTGTTCTTAAATTTATAGGGTATGTATTTAAAATCAATGTCGAGATTATGAAAAAAGGCACTGACAGAATTAACAGGAGAGTCTTCCTCCTTCTCAATATGGTCTACTACTAACAATGTCTGAGAATTTAAGAGCAGCAAAACGCGATACACACTTTTCAATTTCATTGCTGATGTATAAGCAGATACCGCCTCACCACTCACAAACATCATGTCTCCAGCCTGGGAGGCTGTTATAATTTCTCCAGTTGAGTCTCCAACCTCATCACCAATCCACTTCAGCCACTGGGCACACTCACCAAGCTGTCCCTCCCAAGGCTGGTTGCACTGGCTCGTAGGAGATGGAGCAAAGACCAAGACATTGTTCAGGTGGCTGAGTTTAGGTCCATAAAGAGCCTCAGATACAAATACCTGTCCATTGGGAGCAAAAGTGAAAGAGTTCTGATCAGGATGTTCATGTCCCGGATTGAAACTTCTCCACCCATCAATCCAAGCATATGGTTGAAAGTGAACAATATCATAGACAGCACGTCCACCGAGTTTTCCAGACTTAAAGGACACAAAGGTGTTTGTCTGACTGTTTGGCAGTCCAGCTCCATAAGTAACAACTCCCCAGTTAGGAAAGACATGCATTTTAGCATTACCGTAGTCAGGAGGCGGCTGAGGAGCGATTTCGGCAGCGTACCATATAAATTCAGTGTGTAGTGTGCTCCACCTCTGTGCAGTGGACGGCACCATTGGCCCGTCCTTGGGTCTATGTTTCCTAATCTGCTGTGCCAGCCAGTTGCCAGCTCCATTCTTCATGATAAACTTATCTAAAAAAACCAGTTGGCTCTCAGGACCATAAAACCAGTTGTAATTAGAATCTGCTATGCCCACAGTCCTCTGAAAGCCTGGTAACAGGGTGGCATAGTAAAACCAAAAGTGCGTTTTGAGCCAGTTGTTCTCCAAGTTGTTAATACCAAAGTGGCGCTGGGCCAGGAAAACATATTGGGTTACTGACTTGGCTGTGTAACTTCCATAAGCCACTCCCTCATCCAGAGACCCGTCTACAATATGATTGAGCAGAAACATTGTTTTCTCCATCACATCAACAACAGCGTGTTTCCAAATATTTGCCTGAGATCCTTTGTCCACCCCTGCAACTAAAGCCCCAATAAGCAAAGCAAGCATATTTGTTGCTTGGTGATTATGGAGAAGCTGTTTTCCCCAGGAACGAACCTTTGAGTACTCATACATTTCCTCGCTTACAGACCATATCTTCTCCAGGTATTTTTGCCTCCTCTCATTTTCCAGTGAATTATACAAGAAGTCAAAAGCAGTGGCAAATCCTGTTAGGGAGTGACCGAGTGGCACTTCATCTCCAGGTGCATTCTCAACCAACCAGTTTTTGTAGCCAGCCATTCTATCCATATATTCTAGGGCAAAATCAAATGCAGCTTTATCTTCAGGGCACAGCAAACAATAAAATGCTAGACATGGCAGATTGTTACCATAAATCTCATTCCACTTTGCAGCAAAATCAACATGCTTGGGTGGAGGTAGGTAGTATAATGGGTTGGATAGCATAACCGTCACCGCACTTCTGATGGATCTAAATAGATGGGAATGGCTTGTATGAGCCTTCTGCCTCAGTGCCTGGACATCTTCAGCATCGAAATACAAGCTTGGATAAAGAACTGTTTTTTTCAGCTTCTGCTCAGCACTGAGACCTTCAAGTTGCTGTTTTTCATATTGGTCTACATTTTCTATGAAAGTCACCCAATCAGAGTAATTGCTTACAGATTCTTCAGAAGTGAAGACAGCAAACATCATTAATGCTAGAAATAAAGTATGCCCCGTGAACATCAGAGCCATGATCCATTAGGTAGCTCCTCTTCCCTAGGCAGGCATTTCCTAACAAAACACAATGTTGAGATATCAAACTTTGATCCAGTTAGGACAAAACCGAACATCTTAAAGCATATTTTTAGGAGAAAAGACTTAGCGTGTACCGTGCATTCTAACAGCTACAACATTGAAATAACAAGGCTCTTGAAAACTTAAATCTCAGGTGCCTTGTCTCTTCACACTTTTCTCAAACACAACGCTACAGCATAAATACTAAAATTAGGGAAAAAGTAAAATCTCTAAGATATGCGTATAAAACACAGGTTGATACGCATATAAAACACAGGTTGACAATGCACAGTAAGAGACTGAAACACTACCTCTTGATAACTTGAAAAACTTGACTTGAAAGAAGGAATTAGAGTCATACATTTACTTTTTTAAAAAGCTTTCCATCAGGTCAAATTCCACTTCTGGAGCTGACAAAAACTCTGCTGATCACAAAACAATATAATTTATTCAAAACAATGTGTTATATTTGATGAAATAGGGAATTTACAGCACTTGGAAAACAGACTCCAAAACTGAAGTTATTGTCTTCAGCCTTCCCCTTATCTCAATATCTTTCCCCCTTTCTCTTTTGGGACTCATGGGAGCGTGGGAAGGAAAAAAATGAATAAAAAAAAAATCAGCATAGATCTTCCATTAGCTCCTTTTGATGAAACTGCAGTGCTTTTAACCACTATTCCCCTCTGTTTGTGAAAGGTGCGTTTGAATTAGTAGTCATGAGTATCGACATATTTTCAAGTCTTCTTTCATCTTATCTTCAGCCAATGATGCCCAAATTTTTCCTCAATGATTCAGATAATCCTGCTCCTCCCATTATGAAGCAAAAGGAAAACATGCGAAAGAGGCAGATAGCCAATACTTTTTTTCTACAAGAGCAGTTTTGGGTTTCCTTCCACTTTGCATGTTGGTTCTTTCTGTGGAAACAGAAACAAAAGTTCTCTGAAGCTGTATAGGTGTCAGAATATATTTAAAGTACTGAAGTACTGCTAACTTTCTAGGAAAGATGAGTTGATACACCTTTTCTTTTACAGAAACTTTTAAAAGAGGAGCATTTTCAAAGTTCCACAAAATTTATCTTTGGCAAAACAGAAATTCAGATCGGCCACTTAAGCTCGCTTTATTTCGCCTTTTCCCGCGTGACTACGAGGTCTCAGGGCGTATTTTCCCGTTCCGCTATCAGGAGCTAGCCACGACGAAAGTCAAAACACGCCACCAAAATTAAATGGAGCTCAAATTAAAAAATAAAATAAAATTATATGTATACATAAGCCGCACGCGTGGTTCTGCCGGTGAAATGACGGCGTGAAGAGGGAAAGCAGACAGACCGACCCACAACGGCTGCCGCCGTGCCGCCCGAGGGGCGACATTAAATGGAGCTCAAATTAAAAAATAAAATAAAATTATATGTATACATAAGCCGCACGCGTGGTTCTGCCGGTGAAATGACGGCGTGAAGAGGGAAAGCAGACAGACCGACCCACAACGGCTGCCGCCGTGCCGCCCGAGGGGCGAC